CATGGAATCAGAGGCCGAGTGGCAACTACGATTGACTGTATGTAATACTCTTGCATGCTATAGTATACCTTACTGATTATATTATTATAGCAAAGGCATCTCAAGCTATACGCAGTCAAGCATTAGATCATGCAAACCCGGATACTTACCTCAAGTACCAATCGAAATTCAAACGCACTGATATCCAAGCGCATTTTTGGAATCTAGAGCCTGACTATGAGTGTCTCGATATAGAGGAAAGCATGGCACATCACCGTGACCCAAATGCTCCCCAGAAGCTTGATGCCGCTGCTGTTGCTGAGTTTGAGAATGATGAGGAGATAAAAGGTCTGTATGCAGAGATTGAGATTCTGACAAAGAAGATTAATGGCAAGCCAAATGAGCAGCAGGACCTTGCAAGCGAACGAGAAAAGTTATACAACAAAGTGGCGAAGAGACGACGCAGCAAGACCAAGGACTTTATTCAAAAGTGGTGGAAATCCTCCTATAATGAATATATTGCAGGAAAGGAATTCACTGAACGTGATTCAACATGTCTGTTTTCAATCTACCGAAAATACATGCCAGAGAGAGACAGGCTGCGAGATAACTTATTCAGCGAAGTGACAATTGACAGCGAGACTGGAAGACAGTGTATGCTAGATATGGTGGCTATCTGCACATCTGAAGAGAGAGTAGCATACTATCCCGGTGAATTACCAATCGACGGAAGATGTCCGGTTTGTTTGAAAGATATGTCAAGGTCTGTTGCAGGTTTCCTATACATATATTTCAATGCTGATTTCTGCAGTTTTGAGATCCAAGGTCGCTCCAAGCATATACTTCAATGCAAAAGGAAATCCCTGAATGCAGCACCATATCAACAGTCTTACAAAAATGGGAAGAGAGCTCATCGTCGCACTGACCGAGCGTTTTTGGAATGGTGCTTTCTGTGTGCCAAGTGGTTCCACACCAAGTCTGAATGGCAGGACCATTGTTGCTTTCATCTAAAGGATCTACAGCCGCGTTGTGGTTTGTTGCGATTCCGTTATACATTGGTTTCACCAGGGCTTTGCCCTTTCTGCTTAGGCAATGAGAGCATGCAGCCCGACTGCAGATTCAAGCAATGGCGCGAAAAGGCTACTCTGATCAATCATATCGACAATGAACACTTATCAAAGATAAACGAGGAAAAGCCTATCGTATGCCCTCATCCATCTTGTGAAGAGAAGGCATATTCTTCTGCTTTGGAACTTCGACGCCATTTTTATAATGTTCACTCGATTGAAGAGCCTCGCCGCAACTGTGTTAGCAGAAAACGAAAGTGGATACTTCAGGATGATATGAAGGAAGAGCCTATTGTCAAAAAGCAATCGCCTAGTCGTGCTGCTCGTGATGATCAAACTGGAACAGTTTGTAAAGTTGGTCCTCAATCAGAACAGGGCTCTTTGAGGTTATAAAAAGACAGTCTAAGAAGCGATTATTATAAAATCCGACCTCTGTTCATGTTTGGTGTGACTTTTTTCTTTTTTAAAAAAGCTATGATGTTCTTCTGATAATCTTTGTCTATCTTGATCTTCTTGAATTCACTCGGAGGAAATTTATAAAAATCTATCCATACTAATCAGTACATATCAATAGAACTTTGTTCTGAAATGTCTCAGAAGGGTGTTAATAAACAGGGCATCATGTAAGTATTTTCGAGCTTCCGGGTGCTCACTTACTGCATTACATGGGGGTAGTTAAGCAAAAGGGATCATGTTCGTTGTAGTCTTTCAGGCAGTTTTGTAAAATCCAGTGTCTCACAGTATAGCAAGTCACAACAGTCATAAATATCAAGAGTATTGATATTCTAAACTAACAAGTAGTTTTCATATAGTGGTTATTGTAAAAATAGCGACATCCCCTACTTCCAGAAGGGTACCTGGCTTAAAACAGGATCTTTTACTGGTCTGATAGTATAAGGAATAAGAAACATTTAGTGGTTCGGCTTTCGCGCAACAGAACTTTTGAAAATAGTTATTAGGTAAAGAAAATGAGCCCGCATTCAAGCCAGCTCCTAGCCAAGGAGATAATGTATAACTTACTGTATCATTGTGATTATTTTACTCTGGTTCTGTTTAGAAAGTTCTTAAACTTTCTCCAACCAGATGCAGCTGTGAGCAAATCCTTTCTTCGGATAGCGCGGTCACTTCATAATCAATTGGCTAAAGTCTAATAGTAGCAGCGGCGGTGTAAAGTATATTATGAGGCAATCTGAGTGGGGGTTCAGAAGAAGAGAAGTCAGGAATAGACTAAGGCAAACACAAGTGGCATTTGAGTGGGTGGTCTGTACTATACTATATTAGGTAAGGTCTTCCTACAATCCCAAACGATAGAGCTACTGGCAATGGTGATCAGATCACACAAACAATATGATTGGTCAAGAAGAGAAAGACTGTGAGTACAGTATAAGAACCCTCCAGCCAGCCATGTTATCGAGAAAGGTCACTCTCGAATCTGTCTTCTACCCCTCATCTTAACTTTCTATGCACTCAATGGGAGTCTCTAGCTTTCGGGTCTGTTATGAGACAGCGGATGAGCTATGTACTCCCACTACTGTGGTTTCGTTGATGGGCAGCCTGGACGTTTGGCGCAGATTCGTAAATATGCGATGGTATTGTAACCGTCATGGCTACGATGTTATTATCCTCTGGGAAATGTCGACACTACAAATAAGAGCGGCACTGGAAGCACCTCAAGCAGTTACAGTGCCAGATGTACTGCAAGCCCCCGGGGCGCTGCAAGCAATACATGCACACGCACTACAAATTCTACAAGCAGAAATGCACGCGTTACAAGCAGAAGCGGAAGTACTGCAAGATCTACAAAAACTGGAAGAACAGCAGGAATCAAAGTCAGTTCGAGCCCAGCAAGCACGACAAAGATTGGAAAAAGCACTACCAGCACACCGCCAGCAAGCAATAAAGGCACGGCAAGCACAAAGGTCACGACGACTACGACAAACAGCACAAGTACGGCAAGCAAACCAGGCACAGCAGGAGGAGCCGGGTATGATAACTCATTTTGATGTGTGGCTCACCGAATCATCAGCTGCTGTTCTCAGGACTTTTTGTGAGGAGAGAAATGACCTGAAAATTGTCTCTCCATTATTTGCTGGCACTGGAAAAATTTATCTTGACTTTATCAGAGACGAGCACTCTCACCCGTTGAGAGCCGAGATGTTAAAATATCTCAAATCTCTTGGTTTCACATTCAAAAAAAGTGACCAAATCGCACGTCCTGATCTGTGGTGTTGAAATGCCCTATGCTGAGATAAAAATGTATTCACTTTATGAACCAGATTGACTTAGGTTGAGTTGCGGTCTTTTGAGGATTTAAATCCTTGTTTTGTCAACTTATTTATTGTTCTAGTGTTTTGTTGTCGATTGTTCTGCCCTCAACGGGTCATGATCAGCTAGTTGTTGGTACGAAATTAATTAGAAAGACCTGCCTATATCCACCGTGTCTTAGCCTGGACTGACAGATATTAAGTTCTCCTGATTTTGCTGCGTTTTGAACTTTTGGACTACTTCACCTTCCAAGAGCAGACTCAACTTCTTCTTAATTCAAGACTGGTCTCTAGGTTTGACATCCTCGGTTTATCTCTGATTTATGTAGAATCCTTGGAGCACATGTGTCGATCATGTGAAGAAGCTTCGGTGTCCATATCTCAATGGTTAATTCAACAGCCTCCTTATCATCTGATCGCATCTAAAAACATGACTTTCAATGAATTCCCTGACCCTTGATCCTTATGATATTTCTCATAAATCAGAATTGCCAGGTCAGTTTCGCCAAGCCTTAGTTACCACTCGAACCACGTTAGGACTGGCTTCTTCCCGCTTGACTTCGGGAGAGTCGAATTGAAATGGCTCGTATCTTGGATGAAGAGTGATTATAGTCTAGCCTTGCAACAAGCTCACGTTCATGAGAGGTACGACAATGTTCGCTTTGACCAGCGAGATTGTGGCTGAGGAATCATTATGGTACCGCAGCGCGATAGCTAACTACCTAAAAGAGGTTAATTATGGTACAAAGTTGAGTCATCGTTATGATGAGCGTTCCTGACTTGAGGAGGTAAATATTATATTATGTCAGCGTACTGGTCTTCCGCATCAGAAATTCACTACAAAGTAGCAAGCATGGTTGTCTTGCACAAGGCGAGATTTCTCATGCTATAAACATGGTCGACAACAGAATCTACAGTAATATATGCCATTGCAACAGGCTGCTCACTCACAGCGCTCGTTCTCATTCGCATAGCCCCTTCGTTTCTGAGCATGTCCGCAAATATTTCATTCCCCAAAACGAAATACTTAACATACCCATACTCATTGGGTCGTCACAAGCCGCAATATTCCCGGTTCCCTTGCACGATGCCTTCTAAGATACACACGTGGAGCGTATTGAGGTTTTCCAGTCACAGATCCTTCCGAAACCCAATAGGAATTCTCAGATGAAGTTACTGCTCACAAATGGGGCTATCAGGTCCTCCATAGAAGTGTCTGCTTGATGAGCAGCAGTGGTTTTCAACCCAAGAACGCGACACGGTCCATTTGAAAACTTCAGATCCTTTGCAAGCTTGTCTATCGGTACAGCAATGATCTGTTTACCCCTGTGTGGTATAGTAACTGGCCTGCATGTAATTTTTCCCAGGTTCTGATACAGAAAAGTGCTGACTACCCATTCCGGGCTAAGACTCAAGGTTGTAAGCATCTCCGAAGATACTTTCTGAAAGGTAACACCGAAGCAAAATCTGCAGCTAACTGCAATCATGACAGACTTAGGTTCACAGCGGTCGATAGAACCTTTGCCGTTGGACATATATGGAAGGTCGGCTACCGCGTCGCATTGGATAAATAAGACGTTTGCGCATGAGACACACCAAGCGAAAATATGATGAGATGAAGGATCAATCAAGTTTTTAAATTGGAGTCTGGGCTGGAGTATAGGTGTAGGCAAGCATGGTACATTGGGGGTAATCACTGGTGGCTGCGGGATATTGGGATTGGCTTCCCAGTCCTCGGTTTGTTGCTTCATCTGTACCAGCGGGTCTCACTTTGTTGAGGTTAGATATCAAAGCTGTTGCGTCTTTGTATCTACGCAGGTGATCCAGGTTTAAGTATTAGAGATTTAGCATTCGCGCAAAAAGTGCGGAAGGGGCAGAAATGTTGTGAAAAAGACTAAGAATGATATGGCTTGAATATAGTCAAGCTCACTCTCGAATAGTCTTTATATTCATGCCAACAAACATGCCATTTCATTTGCTTTGCTGTGATTTTATCTTCAGATGCCTTTATTAGGCGGGGCTCACATTCCTCGATAGGCAACAGGCAGTATTTCCATTACAGCCTTATCAAGAAAAAATGGTACAGAATAATGTTGTTAGAAGTTTAGCGTTTGAGGGACAAGCTCAGTGAATTCTGAAACTATTTCTGAACCTAATATGTCTACTCAAAGAATGGATTTTTTTTGGTTCTGGTTTGGTACAAATATGAACCATTATCCACTTCTCACTTCTGGAATGAGCTCGGGAAGAACAAAATTCCGCATGCATTTGCATTCCATGATTCTTCTAGCATCACATTCAACATAACAAATATAGCAAAATCACTTCATTCCATGCTTGACACATGGGAAATCATGTCTCGAAATCTGGACACAGTCATGAGTACGCTCTGGTCATTGTCTTCCATGTATATCATTCTGTCTTGATTTGCCTTGTTCGAAATCCCGGCCACGCAAATTCCATCTTGGCTAACGCTCAGACTAGTTTTCCAAATTGAGATTGTTCCTAAGGACCCAGTCTACTGATAAGATACGTTCTCGGATATTATTCTTGACTCAGCACATTGCAGATTAGTTACAGATTGTCCACGTTATAGGTCAAACTTTAGAGGGGATTGATGATTCTTTGGGGTTCAAAGCAAATTTCTGAAAGAATCAAAAGATCTGAAGCATCGGAATTTATAGCATATGGTATAAAGGATTCTCTGAACTCAGTAACGATAATTCAGGGTCCCTTAAACAAATGGTCTCACTTGCTTCCCATGGTCATGGTGGCACTATTTCATGTCTAGGAGACCATTAATCTGTGATGCGCTTTAGCCTAGCTGTATCACTGCTTGTAGCGTGGCTGACCAGAGACCCCCACTAGTCCAAATGCGTCGTCAGCATAACGCAAATGAAATCAAACATTAACTACAATGGTATCAACAACTAAGGTAAACAAGGTCCCACTTATCTGTATTCTAACGTAGTATTAAACCCTTAAAAAGAAGGTATTTACATTTTCAATCTCTCGCCAACCAAATACTTAAACACAAACTGAGACTAAGCTTCTAAGAAGTATTAAATTGATTATTCAGTCAGTCCCCGGAAATCATAGAATAATATCCTTCTTAACAGTGTTGCTGATCACCGCAGAAATTGTTATGATCTATTCGATTCAATAAGAAAGCGCCCTTAAACATTAATACTCGTCAGAATGAGGTTGGCAGATATCAAGAGCCCGAAAGAGATATAAATGAGAAAAACACGTCATGATATGATTGAATTTCATCAGCCACCTAGTCAGTCGTAGCGTAACTTCCTGAATCCGCTTTTTATAGTGATGTGACTAAGTTAATATGCATGACGTCTTAGATCTGCTGCAGCGATGCAAGTCGAGGGCCACCGGTGGCCTCTGTTGTACATCTTGTGCGGTCACACAATTTCTTTTCCCGTTTCAATCTCCCTATGAAGTGACCTTGTGATGAGTGGGCGAATTACTGACATTAACAGACTTCTAAACCTTGAGTAAGCGTGCTTCCAGTGCTACAGGAGTTCTGCTTATTCACGTAGATTCATCCGGTAGTACTCTTCTCAGACAAGTCTGTCAATGTTTTGGTAATCGTTCTCGTTCAAACAGCTCGTCAAAGAGGGGTGATTCACGCCAAGATCATTGTAGCATGTTATAAAATCATGGCATACAGCCAGATATGTCATCAATTGTATTTAATCGTTGCAGGGCTATTGCTCGAAATATAAGTTGTAAAGCCCGGATGACATTGCTTCAAATGATCTAGCATGGCTCCATCAGAATCAAAACTTCGGTGGTTGCTCGTAGATCGTGTGCATTCGAAACAATACCAAATATGACCATGATTGTCCATGATTCCTGGTCGACCAGGCCTTCTGATGAAATAGGCGTAGTGGCGCTTGCGTATATGCTCGATAAGGTCGGCTTCACTCTTGAAGACACTACCATGTTCTGTGCAAGTGAAGACACTCATGTTCAAATGTACGTCTGAGCTTTCGATAAGATGTTTCAATACATTAACCTAAGTTATTTTTGTCTAACATGATGAGTAGAACATTTTGACGGGTTCTAACGGAGATCTCGTCACATGACGTTGATAAGGCGTCATCAAAGACTAATCGACGGCACTTCTAAGAAAAGTAGAATATTGCTGTTCTCACTAGTTTTGACTTCAAAGGCGTGGGAGAAAGAGGTACTCCACCACTCTTCGCTCCGCATCATTTTTCATAATAAATTATGAGAACAAAGAAGGTTTAATCTACCAATGTAGCATTGAGGGTCATTCTTCATAATAGAAGTTTTCGTTTGTCGCAAGAGGGGTACCATTTTTTCAACTTCGTTCTTCAGGTTCCGAAATACGTAAAGGTGATGTAATAATGTCCTCTCTCGCGTTTATATCTATCGAGGCTGAACATTCTGACAGAGTCCATAATGAAATGTACACCTCATGTATTCTGATTTATTGTAACAAGTCTGGTCTATGTGCTCGCCAGAGACGTTGGAGAAGTTTCACAAATTTCTTAACACCGAGGAGGCGACCCAAATCTGCAGCCAGTTCCACACCGATATATGGCAGTCTGGATGTCAGGTTATGTGGAGCGGTGAGCCCCGCAACTTGGTACAGAGCTGGGCAGATCAACATAGAATGCTGACGTTGACCACAGCTATGGGACCGCTGATGGTTCATTGTGAAGAACAGTGTTTATGGTCTCGAAAGTCAAGCCAAGCCTGGAGTCGGTACATGAAGGGCGCATCTGCTATATATGCCTATCATATTGCTCAGGACGGGGGACAAGTCATCGTCTTAACACCGCCACCTCCCGAGCGATCTAATCCTTTCGGAGGATCCAACTACCAGATTGTGGAAGAGCCAATTCTAAAAGGAAAGTTAGGGCCAAAGGTCTCAGACATTGAAGCATTGCATCCGACCATACCCGGCGCCGAAGAATTTCACTACCAGATATGGCCGAACGACGAGACACCCTCTTGGCATGAACACTTTGGATATCCTCGTCCAGCTACTAACTGGCGGCATGCTGTCAAAAACCGAGCATTACTATGAGTTCGATAAGTGGAACAAATACGAGACTGTGGTGACTCTGTCTTCGGGCGAGATCTATACTTCGACCGAGCGACCGAGCTGGACAGTTATGTCCTTTCGCATCATGGTACGACGAGTTGAGGTTTCAAAAATAATCCATTCATAGCTAGTCAAGCCTGTATTACAGAAGAGAATTCAAAATATCCAGCAGCACAGCTTGGGTATGAGGATTGTTGATTTGATTCATGATTCAACGAGGGAGTTGAAGACCTTGATCTGTCATATAACCAATACTGAAAATTGTACGAAAAGAGTTCAGAGGTGTAGGAACAAGTGATCCAAAGAATGAACTTACCCCGCTTAGCAGACAAACGGTATCGTATTATAATGAATATTTTCTGCCATCTTGGGTAATTAGTATCGATTAGAGCGTATGGTACGACTGACTCACCCTAGCAACATAGCAACAAATGGATTATTCTTGAAACCTGATAATTCAGATTCCTGGCATTTTCGAGCTCTAAATAACTTGAACTGGCTCAAGTACAATTACGTACGCCGAGAAATTCCATCATAAATTATGACTTCATCATTTTTTGCCCTTTGCATCATTTTTAAGTTGGAGTTGTCGAAAATTTCCATGAGAGCATACTTCGCCTAGGTCTCATATGGACTTGTGCTTATGCCACGGGGTTAGGGAAGTAATTCTGGAGAGTGGTGGGTAGGCATGACATATGCAAGGCACTGTACAAAGTGTTCTTGACCACAACCCACAGGTCTCGAGGTCGCGACAAGTGAGTATCGATTCCATGAAGTATTGGTCAGTCTATGCTGCTGAGTTTATGGAGAGTTATTACGCCATCGGACTATTCTCATAGGTGGACATGGTAACAAAGCCAGCGCCGGCAACATTCTCGGTCACTGTATATCTGCACTACAGGTGATCACAGACACATGAGACGGATCAGGCCAGTATATCATCCAAGCTATCACTATTCAGCCGGTGGAAGAAGTTTTGGGAACTCTGGTGAGGCCTAAATGGGTTCCAGGGATCTTTGAAATGAGGCGGCCGACCGGCTGGCCAAGGACGCAGTGGACATGGCAAAGATACACTCCTTCAAACGTCTCCTCTCACGGGAGATAGGATATTTACACATGGGAATCTACCGATAGTGGGAACAAGAATGAAAGACCGCAAAAGGTGGAGGTATCTGCGAAAGATTGAGCGAGACCTGCAGCAGGTCTCGGTAGGTAAGGTACGCTAAAAGATGTCCCGCCAGACCGCGGCGTCCTCGGGCTGGTTCTGGATTTCGAAGTCGCGCGCCACGAGAGCAGCAAAGTGAAAATCCAGTCACCGACTAACACAGGCCTTGACGAGGCTATAACTCTGTCAGGAAAGTAATAGTTCATGTTAGATAGGTATATAAAAAGCAAGATAGTGAATCCATGCATATCGTTCAAAGCGATGGGCCAACGTATGAAATATCATCATCATCCCTATATGACCCTTCAAACACATGTCTCAGTCCATCGACATTATAGTAAGTGAGATGGAGTTTCGATATTCAAGACCCCCCTCCTGCTTGGCGGTATAAGACTAGGGAAGACCAGGATTTGTCCAAAGCCGGTGACATGTGAACGTAGGCGTATTATGGCATTCCGTAGTTCCGTTCATAGAATTGTATGTTTGAACGAAGATTTGGCATGATGAATCATTCCTCGAGAGTTGATCTTTATCCGCATACCATGTATCGAAGTTTCGTGTTATAGAGATATCGAGTTGCTCTTTTTCATGAAGAACACGTGAGAGCCTGAAACTGCGAGATACAAAAGCATTCGATATATTCCGTCCGTAGGTAGAATTGGCAAAGTTTGTGAAAGCTGTATTACCCTGGCAATGGGGTTCAGTCCAAGCCTGCAGCTCTAGGGGGCCGGAGAGATAATTCTTCATGGCAACAAACATAAGCATAGGAACAGCATCGAGATATACCAAAACAGTTATATACAACAATTCATAGCATACTCACAAGCGAATCGTCTACTTCGCTGACATCGGCTTTAACCATAACCATAGCACCGAGTGTGATGGTTGCGATAGTTAGAAACTGCATATCCAACAAGTAGGGGTCTCCACAAAGATACTTGAGTAAGTATCTTGCACAAAAGTCAGACCTGAGTGCTCCTTATAAGCACAGCAAAGAACGAATTACTTCTCATTCACTAGCTTCAATTTCCAAATGAGCTGCGAGCCGAAAAGAGAACGGCAACCCCGAACTGATTTTACACAGTGACAGGCTCTGTCCACCGAAGATTCTCTAGCCTGATAGACTTTAAGATGAGCATCACTGCTAGCACCGAGAGATTGGCTTGCAGACATCGACCGCATGGAATTACAACAAAACGAATGCATAATAAATGACCTATAGATGCTCTGAATATCGCTTGTACATTACATAGTAGCCAAAGATTATCACAGAAAGTTTCCTCGATACACAATTCAACATTTTTAGGGCTTCTAAAAAATACGAGCTAATAGTGAAATCCCCCTTCCCCGAAACCTCTTCAAATAGGAGGTTTAAGAAGAGGTTTCAAGAAAGCTAAGACTAAGAAAAGTCGAAGACTGTTTTGTAACTTATCAGGAACAATTTAACAAGATTTATCTCAAGTATGAACTCGGTGAAACTCTGCTATCATCTCTCGATCATGCTCCTGCCTTATCTTAAGAAGCTTTCCAAACCTGTAGATAATGAATAAACCCAGTGAAACCGAGACAGTGAGGGCGGTAACTATCGTTGCCATAAGAGCCATGATAGACCAGCTACCTCCCTGGGCCGTATAAACATTGATTAAGGTCGCAATCAAACCAGACGCGGCATTTAAAAGAGTGGGTCTAGTTCTGATGTAAGTCGCAAGGCTTCGCAAATTGAGTGATCTCACAGTACATAAAGAGTCGGTTAAGAAGCCAGATATAATTGTTTCTTCTCTCCCACGCAAGCCATGTCATAACAAAAGCTCCCGAGACAAGGAAAAATCCGGCGATAGCGAGCAAGGGAGGATTCTGGATCGTACTGAGAATCTTTTGACCTGTGGCGGTTGCCTTCAAGCTATCTTCCAGTATTTGAGAGTCCTGAAGAGAAGTAAAAGTTCCTGGTAAAACGAGGTACCCTGCTAGAAGCATCCAGTTGGCACCATCGGCAAGAATACTATAGAACCATGGGATAGAATCGAGTTCAAGAAGCATTTCCATATACCGTGTCTCGATGGTATGTGCAGTATCATTTTGTCGCAAGGAATATCCGTTGCTTGAGGTTGTTGGTGTTTGTGAAAGTTCCATTCTTGTCTGAGAAATATGTGTTGACGGCGAAAATGAAACGGGACCATTGAAGTCTTTTATATAACAGCCCTGGAGACCTGTGAGAGAAAAGTAGGCGAGGCTGCCAAGAATCACTTAATCACAAGGTAGATTAGGGAAAGATTCTTAGATGAGTATACTAGCCAAATTGAGGACATGAAGTGTATGGACGCTTTGATTCAAATATAACTCCAGTAATCCATTGGATTCAAATACCCTTCAATTGTGGATTTTTGATTTCATACTTCTCGTATTCTATAAAACCCGTATCAGTTGTACATATAGCGGTATTTACGTGTTATTGGTTGCTGGAACTTGTACCTACCCACTTTAGTCAATATCTCCAGCCTCCATATAATTCATCTATAACAGATCTACCTAGAGTCTAGTTCCTGCTTTCGTTCCAAAGCAACCTTATATAAAATATGGATAGGACGAAGGCACCACGAAACTGCTGACACCTGTAAAAAGGGGTGCTTCATTGCATGGTTAGACAAATGAAATAGTTAGACAAATGAAACTGGGTTATCAGAACAGATACTCACCTGAAGAAGCTCATCTGCAGTTACTGTAGCCGGAGCTCCAGCAAAGTCTTCCGCAAGAAGTCCAATTGTACCATGGACGCTGGTGGTCTCCTCATCATCGAGTAGGCATCGAGCTAAACGACACACAGCCTGAACATCTCGCGCTTTCTCCAGTGAGCTCGGCTTCTGAAACAGCCGTTTGCCTATCCCAGCTGCAATTTTTAGTCTTTGTTGGGAGAGAGTCGGATTAAGAATTCTTACTGATTTTGACTTCTCCCATATTTGTGACAAGGATTTTTGATGGTGACAAGCCACCATAGTGTATGTCTAACTCTTTATGTATATAGCGTAGGCCAAGAAGAACCTGAAGTATGTTAATGGCTGATGATCATTCAGGGAACAGGTAGCTAGACTTACTGCTTTGCATATCACGGCGACCTCTACCTCACTCAAACGAAAGACAGGTGACAGATGAAGAATCTCGGCCAAGGTCAAACCCCACTGGTCATATATGAAGTAAGCACTTCCTTTCAGAAAGAATACCTCCCGAATTTTCAATAAGCTTGGGTGTGAAGACTGCCTCAAGCGCTGTACAGGAATTTCCTTCTCTTCCAACTTGCACTGGCTGACAAACCCCACAGGAATGCCTTCGCGAAACTCAATCGCATCAATCTCATTCCAAGACGGGTTCAAACCGACAAATATTCGGCTTATTTGATCATAGGGAGAGCCGTAATGAACAAATTCGTTTTCTGTCTGCGACTGAACAAATGGAAAGGCTAAATGAGGATGAGGAATACGCCGATTGACGGGCAATTCAATGGGGCTTTGTAAGTTTGTGACGGGTGCCATTAGGATAGTAAAAGTAATCCAGTTTTGGGGTTGAATACTGTATTGAAATATCAATTCATTGTGTAAAGAAATCTTCCTTGGAAAAATCTTGTCTCAAGTCGAATATCCGTGGTCATTATGTATCACACCTTGCTCCAAAGTCCAAGTACGGTTTCCATGCGTTTAGACTTACTCATCGCTATTGCGTGTTCCCAAACTTTCCGCTATTCTCGTTATTTGCGAGCCGAAAAGGGTGCGGCAAGTGGGGCGTATCACTTTTCCGCAATCAGCACACATCCGATCGCACGGGTACTGCGCACGGGTTGCGGCTCGAAAAATACGGGGTGGCAACGTAAAAAGACACGGTACGCAGGAAATTCGACTTCTGGCCCATAACCCAGACACTGGGCTCGATGAGATCATAAAAACTTATAGATTTTTAAATTCCATGTGCAGATCAACAAGAATCTCGGAGTTTCGAATCTTTTACTTCTCTATTATCTTGAAATTCCCACCTCGAATCGACTGAAGATGACCACGACGAAAAAGAAATCGTATCGTGAAACGGTTTTACCTGAGGATCTAAGGAATATTACTGGCCACCAGAGTACAAGTCGAAAACTTGATACAAGGGAGCATACAAAATACCTCAAAGGGCATCTTGGTAGCTCTCATCGCTTTGGTATCCCGATCCACCCCCATAGGAGATGCGATTCTACGGATGTGAAAGAAGAAACAGATACAAAAATCAAGTACCACAAGTCATATTATGTTGACCAAGCGGGTTCCGGTGTTATAGCACTGAGAGATGTTGGCGAATTTCCGACATTCTTGGTAAAGCAGCGTCGGATACCAGAGGCATGGACATTTCGCAAAGCCTGTCATGACAATCTGGTATCATTGCTGGACTTCTACACCGAATCGAACTCAATCTTTTTAGCCTATGAGTACATACATTTAGCAATCTCCCTCGACTGTCTGGCAGGTATTGTTGACATGAGCGAAGCAGATATTGCCACAGTCTGCAGAGAAATTCTGAATGGCCTTGTCTATATTCATTCTGAGCTCAGGATATCTCATGGCTCAATTGACTGTAGCAATATCTTGCTTAATGAAAAGGGGGAGGTGAAACTAGGTAAGGATTCATCCTTCCTCGAAATCAGACAACTAATAAATCATTAGCAAACATCGGAGATAGTATGATCCATGAAAATGCACTAAGTGACTGGAAAGAGGATATAGCGGCTATTGGCTTTATTGTGATTTGCATGAACAATAGTACATCATTGATATCAGGAGCTGCTCTTGAGGACACTACACTTTCTGGGTCAGCTCTCAAATTTGTTGGAAACACGAAAGAAAAAACTGCGAAGGAACTTTTGGATGTAAGACAAAAGCATGTTTTACACTCTGGTGTAATAAAGACGAGCTGACACTGGGCCTACACAGGATGAATTTCTATGTTTAGCAAACCCAGGCGGTTCATGGAGCCTAAAACGACATTATTTCGATGTACTCCCGTTAAGTATCAGGTTTGGAAAGCGAGCTCGGGAAAAGTCATGAGTCACTTGTGGTTTTGAGCCACAAAGCCATTAATAGGTTTAAGATAAATATTTTAAAGCATCTGTGCTTGAGCTTCTGTTAATTTGGTTGTTATAAAGATTATGATTGATATAGTTGTCTTAGCTGTCACTTTTGTGCATCATGAAGACTTTAGAGAAGTGATCAATTAAGCAGAAGGGAGTAACTGTGGAGTAGGGATCGACTTCAGAGTAAGGCCGAGTTGTAGAGAAGAAATTACTTAAATAGTAGAAACCGACTACAAAGTAGGGATCAACTACAGAGTAGGGACTGACTACAGAAGAGGAACAAACTGTAGAGTAGGAACCAGCTGCAGAGTAGAGACCAACTGTAGAATAGAGACTGACTATAGGGTAGGGACCAACTGTAGAGTAGGAACTAGCTGCAGAGTAGAGACCGACTGTAGAGTAGAGACCAACTGTAGAGTAGGGACCAACTGTAGGGTAAAGATCAACTGCAGAGTAGAGACCGACTACAGGGTAGGAACAAACTGTAGAGTAGGGACTAACTATAGAGTAGGGACTGGCTACAGGGTAGGAACCAACTGTAAAGTAGGGACCGACTGTAGAGTAGAAACCGACTGTAGAGTAGAGACCGACTCTAGAATAGAGACCGACTACAGGGTAGGGACCAACTGTAGAGTAGGGACTAACTGTAGGGTAAAGATCAACTGTAGAGTAGGGATCGATTGTAGGGTAGGAACTAACTGTAGAGTAGGGACTAACTATAGAGTAGGGACTGGCTACAGGGTAGGAACCAACTGTAGAGTAGGGACCGACTGTAGAGT